CGTGACCAGCCGCGCTGACGCTCCTGCCAGCTCCACTGACCAAATGTAACTGGAAATCAATAACGCAGTTCAAAACACAGGCTGGCAGTTTTATTTAACAGTGAACTATGGCTGCTATTTACTATTTAACACACACATAAACAAAACGAAATAAAGACCAATGTAAAAACATGCTTTGCACAAAGCAAAAAATAAAAACAAATCAGAATCACAATCAGAAATACTTTATTGATCCCCAAGGGAAAATTATGACTCGTTACAGTCGCTCCGATGTAAAGAATAGAGAATTATAAGGAGTGAGAATGAGAGTATGAAATAGAAGTATGTAAATATAAAGTAATACAATAGAATAGAAAAAAAGTGCATTAAGAATAAAAAGAAATTTTGCATTATGCCACACTGTTTATCACTAGAACTTAAGATATTAAAAATATTAAAGTAAAATATATATTGTCACGTGCTGAGGCTGTAGGTGTGAAAATTAAACTACAATATATACATAAGTAGAATAAAACAAGAATAGAATAAGGGTAAACATAAGAAATATGTACAGTTATGTGCATTGTATGTTTAATAGATATATACATTCAAGAGTTAAAGAAAGGCATAAACAAGCAAGACAGACAGAACACATAATAAAATGTCAAACAAAATTCATGGGCTATTAAAATTTAATGCATTTTGCTCTGAGGGAAAGTGATCTTCTTCTCGTCATGACTTTGAGGATGTCACACCTAAGAGGCCATTGTGATACCTTGTCTGGGACTGCACTTGGTTGAGCAGTTGTTGTCTAAGGCACCTCAGCCCAGATGTCCATAATCTCATAATCCATACATGTCTGACATATACAGAAAAAGAAGAAGAAGAAGAAGCAGAGGATAGCTACATAAACAGGCATGCACATGCACAAACAGGACCTATACATGCATAAGGTGGAGAGATGTCAGAGCAAGGAGGCTGCCTTGGACAGGCGCCCCAGGTAGTTGGGAATTCAGTTCCTTGCTCAAGGGCACATCTCCAGCTGCCAGTCCCCACTTCATGCACGGTCCGGACTTGAGTCATCTACCCTCTGGTTCCCAAACCAAATCCCTATGGATTGCGCTGCTGTCCCATACCTTCATTATGCAGCTCCTACAAAACAATCTGATGGGCCACAGTATCTCTGACATGCCAGGCCCAAGACCCAGATTCGCTGTGTCTTTTATTGTTAAATTTCTCCTCCAAATTTTAGAGTATGCTCCACAACAGCATGACAATAAATGACCGTAAAGGGCGTCGTGATGCTTCTGCATTGTCATCTCATCTTGCTTCTGACTTGAAGAGGGGCCCTTGGTCAAAATCCCATTTTAAGCAATTTATTTTTGTTGTTGTAGTTTCTGTACATGGTGCACATTCTTAAATACATGTGAAGGGTTATTTTACATTAATACATATTACAAATGTCAATGTGGAAATATGAAATGTGCAGCACATTGTAAAGAGACTGTAAAAGCAGTTAGAGTGGAGCTTTGTTGGAGTTGACATACTTTGTTATTTACTGTAAATATGTCAGACTGTGTTGTTTGGGGGTTCAAACCACAGCCTGGAGCCTCTATTTGCCAAGGAATCCTGTGCTAAAGCAGAGGTGGATGGACTTTATTTATAGACAATGCAGTTTGCAGTTGCAAATGAGTCTTCAGAATACAGTGAGGTAGAGTGGGAGAATAAGATGTGCAGTTCACCATGTGCAAGGTCACTGAAGAACAAAACAGAGGTGAGTTCTCTGTTAGACAGAGGTGAGGTGTTGTAGAGAGTCATTACATATTGGACCTTGAACCTACAGATGAAATTTGACTCACTCAAGAGTAATAATTCCTCTTAACGCCTGTTATTCCTGTAAGCTGTAATAATTCATTCAGGTCTGGCTGTGTAGCCCACACACAGTTTAGTATTAACTCTGCCATGATCTACGCAGTCCCTTCTACAGCAAAGCTAAAGGTGGATTAAACAGGTAAAAATGGAGTTAAATGGTTCCAATTGTTAGAATCTCCTCTTGCTAACATCTGTATTCATGCATGCTTTGTTTGTGACTTGTAATTACTGTGCTTTTCCTGTAAATGTCATGCAATAAACCCAGTGTAACTACAATATTGTTTTGTTTCTATCTTTCATGAAGGGTGCAGCTGCATCATGTTTGAACAGAGCAGATGTGGCCCGTCAGTGTAACTTGGTGGTCATGCATGACGCTGGCCTCCAGTGTCGTCTTCCTATGATCAGGATGAGGACTGTTGGGACCCAGCTGTCACAACGCAGACTGATATACAGGAAAAGCTTGGGTATGCGTCTCTCAAATGACTGATGATTGCTCTCTGTGTGAGAATGCTTACCCATGTGTCAAATTACTCTGTATTGTATACAATCTGTTGTGTGTGTGTTCATCACAGGTGTCCAGACAAAGCTGCCCACAACAGGTGCTGGTGTTGGTACAGCATAGATGAGACCAGCAGAGCAATCCGTCAGAGGGCTGATTTTGAGCTCTCAAAAACCTCCTCTATTTCCTCCAACTGACTGGTCACAGCCTGAAATTGAAGATGATGAGTGCGTGACAGTGGTAACCTATCCTTTGTTGCATGTCTCTTTCTCATGGAGGAATAAAGTAATGTTGTTGTGACAGTACTGTAGAAATGGATTTGTGAGGGTTTGAATACTGACCGAGTCCTCTTTTTTAGATGAAAACACAGCAGTAGACTAAATCCTGCAGTGTCTGCATACTAATTACAATTTAATCTATCTTGCTTAACAAGAGCATGCTGCAAAAATGAAATCAGTTCATTTAGTGCCTCTGCTCATCTATTTCTGCATACTAGCGGCAACACTGCTCATTGTAGTGAGAAAACATCTGTTGTTATTGTTAAAAAAAAAGTTTGTCAATTTAACCAATTATTCTCTTATTTTAACTAGATGCTCTGTTGGAGGTAACAGCAAATACAAACAAAGAATATTTGTAGAGAAATGATAGTCAAAAAAAAAATTAACTATTATAGTGTCATCAAAATAAAGTGCTGCTTTTGTTACTGGCAATGCAAAAGTAACTTAATTTTTGCTTTGTACTGCAAAAGACATTATAATTAAACGCAAAACATATTTAACTTTTCATAATTTTTTACATTGAACACTTTACTGACTTTTATTCAATATTAAATCATACACACACTATAATTCAATTAATTCATACATGTTTCTATGGCAAAAAACTGACATATAAGCCAGTTTGACTAATTTCATAGTTGGTGAGTATGCTACAGTGCAAGGTAAGTTAAATTCAAGACTTTTTCAGACTTTTTTTTAGTGACACTCGAAATGAAAAAAGAAAAATGACATCAATCACTTTTTTAAGTTAAAGTTAGTGCAAGAGGCATTCAGTAAATTATTTAAAAAAAATAGATGCTACCAGTTATTTTGAGATTTTACAATGTAATGCTGACAAAAAGATTCAGAAAATCCTGCTTCCCATGGTTCAGCATTTTTAAGACTTATTAAAGAATGATTTCAGACATTTAGATTCATTCACAGAACCTGGGGCGACAGAGCCTTCTCCATAGCCGCCCTCTCCCTCTGGAACACCCTCCCTATACACATCCGTGACTGTCCAAATCCATCCACCTTCAAATCACTCCTCAAAACCCACCTTTTCAAATCAAAATTTAACCTTTAACATTAGCTTTTCGTTCTAGGTTCCTCATGTGCCCTCCTTTTCTTTGTTTTGCACTATGCTTTTGCACCTTGTTGTTTTATATTGTCCTTGTCTTCTGTTTATCTCTTTGCACTTACATGTTTTTACTTCTTTTCTTTGGTTTTAAATGTAAAGCGTCTTTGAGAGCTGTAAAAGCGCTGTATAAATAAAATGTATTATTATTATTATCATTATTATTATTATTATTATTTAATCCCCTTTTAAAGCTTTTTAAGGATCAGCACAAACCCTGATGGTACAAATTGTTGAAACATTCCCATGAATGTTAAGATTTTTACATTTTTGAAAACTAGCAAAGAGTGATTGCTGCAGAAAATGAGATCACACAGGAGGCTTGATGATGTAAGACCAGGGCAGCCATATTTGCACAGCCAAATCATTTGTTATACAACAAGAAAAATCCAGCTGCTGAAATCAGCATGAAGAGCAAAAGTTTCTGACCTTCATCTTGTGCTGTGGGTGAAACACAAAGTTACCTGCTCTTCATCTGAGAGTGTCTAAGATGTTTAATCATCGTCTTTTTAATACAACACGCAACAAACAATCATCAATAATAGTTAACTTAGAGTATGGTACCCAATTTACTTCCAGTAGTCACACTTCATCTCACTCAACCCATATGTATAGGACGCAGCCATTGAGCATCCTGCAAGTGTAAATTATAAGGGCCTCTTGCTGTTTTCTAAAGTAACTAATTCAGCGAATGTCTTGAGAGATTCAGGTTCGTGCAGTGAATACAGTGTGAAGTCAGTGAATTAGTCTTTTTAAATTTTCTAAATTTTAATAAAATTAGGATTTCTAATAAACAATACCTCAGTATTGTAGATATGATTATGTACATCTTAAAAGCAACTTATTTTAGAAGCTTTTTTTCACATTCTTTAAAACTCTCTTTACATCCCGACAGCAATCAATAAATGAAATGAGAAAAAAAGCAAAAAGTCGCAGGCTTGTAATATGGCCATCCAATCATTTCATTTGGGTTGAATGAATGATTGGATAGCTCAACTGTCTGTCAGAGAGAGGGCGTTCCTTTCTGCTGTTTACAAATGTAGATGAGCGTGCTATGCACATCCCTTTGGTGAAACCCTGTTTCAATGATGGAGAATCCTCCTGCAGAGAAAGATGCTATTTCAGCATTGTCAACAATTGCAAACACTGCAAAGCAACCCATTAGGATGATAAACTTATCAAAAAGAGTCTGACAATAAACAAAATAAAACTCATGTTAATATTGGCAAAGAATTTCAGAGATGGAGAGAAAACATTCTGCGTACCCCAGCTTTAATCCTAACAGTTAGAGATCATGTATAATATGTCTTACAAAACATGTGCACTCAGCAGCTTTGCATAGTGTTCTGGGTATTTTTTTTTAAGGTAAACATGCATTTTTCCTTCAACTCGCTGATCTCCAGTCAGACCTGTGAAGTAGAAGGAAAGCAGGTCACAGAGTGACACATTGATATTGACATTGATACATATAATTAATGATACTGAATGTGCTGTATTTATCTAAAGGGTTGGGCAGTTTGACAGCTTTGAGCTCACCCAGTTTCCTAGCCGTTCTTTCAATCTTCCCCAAGGCAGACTGCATATCTCCTCCCTCTGGAACCAGGACCTCTATCTCTCCCACATGGTAGCCAAAGTCAGCTTGGTCGAGATCTATCTTCACCCCCTCCTCCTCTAAAGTGAATGACCGCCGCACTGTTGTATATTCTGCGAAGCACACCAGATTCATTTTGCTCAGCCAAGACTCATCCTCCTGTGAGGGGCTTGTCTCTGTCTCTCCATCCTCACAAACAGCTTTAATGACCTCCTTCACTCTCAGCTGAATTTCAGGCAGATTGGTTATCTCCTTGTAGCGGGAACACAGTGCTGCCGCTTTAGATTGTTGTCCAGACTTCTCTTCTGTCCCGTTGACTGCCGCTGGGCACTTGAGCTCCCAGCATCCTGTACGTTTACGCAGCCAAATGTCTTTCAAAGTCAAGTCAAACTTTGAGGTGTCAAAGTACTGGTCACAAAACTGGCGTTGACCAACACACACTGCTGAATAAAAGAAGAGGGAGGAAGAAAGATAAATGGATAAATAAATATTGAAATACTAACGAGGCTGATACAGATAATTTAACTTCATTATTAACAAGAGACAGATGGCCAGGGTCACTACAGTTACAGTGCAAACCACAGCAATTAGTGCCATTCAATGAAGTCCTTCAGTGACCATTTAGAAGTTGACTTGGATCACAGCATCGGTTAAATGCCTCAGTTTTAAAGTCATCCATGCGTAGATGTGTTGGAGACAAATTAAACACGTACCCCCGATCTCCTCCAGAGTTTTCAGAGTGTCAGCATTGCACACAAATTTTCTTTCCACTTCCACACTCATCTGAAATGAGAAACAACAATACTGAATGAAATCCAGCTAAAGACTACAAGCTTTAGGATTGACTATCTTTTAAGTAAGTTAACTAATAGGCAGGTTAAGTTGTATATAAGAATGTGTTTTTTTCATTAAAGGTCCAATGTTCAAGATATAGAGGGATTTAGTGGCATCTAGTGGTGAGGATTGCAAACAGCAACCAGCATCAACTTCTCTCGGTTAGATTTCCCTCAATGTTCAGGAGGTTGTTAATGAAAGCAGAAACGGACCAGGTGGTGAAAACTGGTAAAAACACAGAGCAAAGCAGTTTTTAGTCACAAATCAGAGCTTCTCCTTTGCTGTTTGGCACATCACAGACAGGCTGCTCACCCAGCGCCTGCTAATGTGTGCTCACCTTTTTCCTGACCCAGATGTTCAGGAGGTTTTTGACCATGAGCCAGATCATCTGCAGAGCTCTTCTCTTCTCCAAAACAAACAGACCAATGATTTAAATGGGTAAAAATTCTGAATAAAGCAGTTTCATGTTACAAATTAGTGTTTTTCCAATGCTACTCGTTGCGGAGGTGGCCAGTGTGAAAATGGGAATAGCTCTATATCTACAGCCAGTGTTTGGTTTGTCTGCTATGGGCTACTGTAGAAACATGTTGGTGCAACATAGTGATCTCTGTAGACAAGGAATCACTCCATATGCTGATATAAACAAATCATTCTAGGGTAATGAAAACACATTTTTTTGCGATTTTTCCACACACACAAAAAAAACCCCTCTTATTTTGTTATATTCCATTTCTGCCAAAAAACAAACTATCATTAGTATTGTAGTATTAACTGTTATTTTGTTGTTTGACAGTTTTTTTTAGAAACACCATAAGTTTACCCCAAACACTAAGTTTTAACAATAACAATGCCAAAATCAAGTCACAAGTTAAAAGCTCTTTTACATACTTTTTGTTTTATTAATCATATATGAACCAATGGTGGAAAGTACATTCACTCAAGTAGTGCGGGAAGAACAGTGCAGTTTTGAGGAACCTTTGGCATTTCAGTTTTAACTACATTTCAGATGGAAATATTGTACTTTTTATATTTACTGAACAGCTTTATTAACTACCGTAAAACGTCAATCAAAAGCCTAGTCCCAATTAAATGCCCAGTCCCTTTTACTAGCCCGGTGTGGCGACACATCTTGACAAATAAAGGCCTGTCTCAATTAGAGGAATGGTCTGGTTGCCAAGCAGTTCATTTTTTTTTTTTTATAGAAGTTCTTCAAATGTATAAAACCGGGTTGTTGGGTCCATTCTTCGATTACCCTGTAAGTTCTTCATATTCCTTTAGTCCATAAGGGTCCTCAGATCAAAACAATATAAAAGGTTTTTGAGAAAAATCTATTTAAGTTGTGAGTATTGTTTTAACAGGATAAAGTGGTGTTGTGTCGATACGCCAGGTGCAGGAACTCTACATCTCTCTGATGCGCTGTGTGTCAGAGCTAGATCAAATGATTCAAAACTGATACATTATCTGAAACCTAATTTTTAAATGAGTAATATTCAGACTGGTTTAAATAAACAATTCAATTGCAGTTCCTGATCTTTGCTGAGCAACAGTTTTGTGTGAAAGGAATTAAAGTCCTGTCCCATATAGATACCTGTCCCAAATATAGGCTTGTTGATTGCAGTGATTTAAGCAAATAATAGCCCCGGGCTGTTAATTTAAATTTTATGGTAGTTTATTTGCAGATTAGGATATTACATATAAAATTTGAAAATCTGAAACATGATGCACTTTTATAGAGAAAGCTACCAAAAATATTGTTTTTATTGACCCTCACTTCAACTTGCTTCAATAAAAATGCATCTTACACAGTTATGCACCAGTAATAATCATCTAACAACAATGCTATATTTAATGTATTAATATTAGTATAATAATATAAACTCTTTCAGCACCCTCTGTACTTTAACAGTGGTAAATATTTGAATATGTAAGTATTTATGCATGGTGGTATTACCTAAGTAAAGGATCAGTTTACTCCTCCCACCAAAACATGTAGCCTAACCATTATTTTCTCTGGGTTGTCTGCGTAGTTTTACGTTTTGTACAGTTCACATCCTGTTTAGTATTATTTTTATTTTCAGTAAAGCAGTGATACAGCAGCACAGCAGCTCCTGTAGCCGCACCGGTGTCATTATAATCAGGCTCGGATTATTCAGTCCGAGCTGCTGCTGCAGACTCATGCATGAATTCCAATTCAAAATCACCAAACTGAAACACAGAGTTTTTAAAATCACCACCCGCGTATCAAACCGCACTCTCACACACCTTCACAGGTCACGTCCTCGTATCCAAACAATTCGGCACCAAAAAGTGCGCGACACATCAATCCGAGTTGCCCCTACACGTCAGCGAAGTTCATTTTGCACAGGCGCAATTAGAGCCACCTATCAGGGTATTCAGGAACATCACTTCCTGTCCCAGTAACGCAGGGGCATACAGATGGTGCAGTTTTAATCCCCTCTGCTTCATAAATATTTATTCCACATACTCGACTGTTGATGTGCGCCACACCTATCATTTGATTGAAAACATGTCATAATTCGCACGCGCGCTGCCGAGATGAGGCTCCGCGGTCATATCTCTATTATTCAGCCTTAATTAACTCGTCACACTCTTTGTGATAATCCAAGTTGGCAGAATGGGGACTCGCTTTTTATTCACCTTTAATGTAAAAACGAGGTTTCACATTAAAGGGGATTCCGTGTAATCTAGACATCGGCACACATTTTTTTTTAAACTATCTCATGCATTTTTTGTATACTGACTTATCTGTATGGCTCAATAAGCACTGGGTGTTTCAACATACATTAATAATCTCTAATATCTGCGGGGTTACATAAGGGATTTGATAGCCGTGCCTGTCCCTTCTGAATGTCAGCAATCAGCCTTGGGGGGAGCTGTGGTCTGTTTACTAGAGGGAAGAGGGGAAGGAGAGAGGGATAGGGCGAATGAAGGGAGGGGGAGAACAGGAGAGAGAGAGGAGAGACACAGAGAGAGGGAGGGCAGGCAAGAAAACTTTTCACTTCTGAGGAGCCACGGAGGAAGCGTGTGTGTGTGTGCGTGCTGGAGCGGCGACCATGCAGGTAAAAACGCATTAGCTAATTGCTCTGAACTTAATTAAACGTCATTCGCGATCGGTTAATTGTGCTGATTTGAGCGCGGAGAGTGGCCTGCGACTGATAGAGGATCGAGCAATCGACGGATTGTGCCCCATACTAATCCGATCCCTTATAGAAATCCAACATTAAATCCCAAACTTTTTCTGCCTCTCGTCTCTGTTTCGTCTGCTCTCCCTACACCACCCCCATCGTCGAGGCGACCGCGGCGCACGTACTCCGCTTCAAGTAGCTTTTTAGCGTTTAATTCTTTCGCCAATTACGGCTTGAAGCTGTTAAAATGATAGTTTAAATGGCCATGTGTTGCACCGTGAGTGTTTAAGGTATGGATTTGAGCGCTAGGACGCGTCAAAAGGGGGTCTGCTGGGCGGCGAGGGAGGAGGGGGTGCGAGTGTTTTCTAACACATCTGTAAACGGAGCCCACGTTCATTAATTAAATGGCTTTAGTCCGGCTAGGCCTCAATTTGCGCTGTTGAGCAGCAGGCGGCGGGCGGTGCAACACTAGATGCCCGATTGGCAGCCCACAATCAGAGGAGTAAGGATATAACTCGAGGCCGAGGTTTTTGATCTGAAGCCTAGTGAGACTATTTTCTATCCTGCGTGAACTCGGTCGGTGTATTGAAGCTGCAGTTCCCACCTGGACCAGGCAGAGTTTGTAGGGAGTGGAGACTAGCCAGTTGGAGACAGTTTGAGGAGCGGTTAATTATCTCTGCTTGCTAACAGGCTAGCTAGCAAAGTGACACGACTGTTATTAGCTCAACCCCTATTTGTTTATTAATTTGCTGAACGTCCAGAGAGCCAGCAGCGAGATAATGCACACGTCTGCCCTGTGTTTTGCAGTTTCGGAGAAGTGTCTGGCTATCACTGCGGGGTTATTTTCTGTAAACTAACAGCTAACCAGCATTTCCAGAAACACGACTGTAATGCGACGTTACAGGGGGGGCTTCTCAACCTAGCTTGCTAGCTAATTGATTCGTCTCTGGTCGGCATAGCTAATTAGACTGCTCATTAATTAGGCAACTATGAGCAGAGAAATGTCAGTCTGGTTATATCTTAGCTTTTAATTATGAAACTCTTGATGAGGAGCTCTTAAACATGATATAATCTGCAGATATGGACTTGTCGGAACATTATCTGCTCATATAACCCTGCTAGCTTGCTAATTGGCATGACGAGGAAGTGAGGATTGTGGCTGTGTTGGTATTTCTCCTCATGGGCATGGTTTGCTCTCTTCGTTGCGTTTTGGATCATGAATGCTTGCGGGAAAAATACATCAAAGCCGTGTGGTAAAATCCAGACTAGTGGTCTATTTTGACTTGCTTAAAACTGCGTGGGAGTTACAGTTATTTGATCATGCACGTTGAGGCTTATGCAGTATGATTTCAGATCATATTTAATATATCGACCACATTCCTTGTGCTGGTCAAAACTGGGAGAAATAAGTGGTTTTACAGGCTGTATTGTAAATTATTAAGCAGTGCATGTAATGATTGTGATTGTTGCTGCAATATATTCTGCATTTAATACATTTCATTTGCACATGTGATGCCAGATCAGTTTGTGGAAGTTGGATTGATTGCAAAGATGTAGAAAACAGTGAATCTTTTATTTAGAGTTAACAACACTGCAATGTCAAACCTACTAAAGGCACTACATGCATGCTCCTTTTAAAGGCGTAATTTCAATAACTGCATTATTGTGTTGTTTGATACAGTCTTAACAGACATAATGTTGGAACCCTACCTACAAAGCATGGCTAATGTTGAATGGAACTTCAGAGACCTGTAAGAATGAGATACTGATCTGGGATTAGTTTTATTGTTAAACAAGATATGCCTATATAAGGGTATGGTGACCGGCCTCTGATTGTAGGTTCAAATAGTTAAACATGACAATGCATGATAAATGTTGGTCACCTACCTAAGGTGTGTATACTTTTGTCTTGGTGGGTGCAGCTCCCCTTTTGATCTTGCTTAAATTACTTCCTCACATCACATTTGACTTTATATCCTCTTTTCTATTCTGCATTTGTGATAAATGGTAACCGCTCCAGAAAGAGAAGTATTCTCTAGCATTTTTACATTTGTTTTTGTTGTTGTTTTTGGTTAGGAGGAGGCTGGTGAGACAGTGAGCAGTGAAAGTAATGGGGTGGCAGCGTGGCTATGCCCCCTGTGCCAAAAAAGGCAACCCAACAGATCCTCCCTATCTCTTCATCTCACTGAGCAACACAGTGTACTTCCATCTTGTGTCGACAAACTGCTGGACATTGTAAGTACAGCTGGGCGGTATGGCTAGTCTATACTCCCTGAAAGGCGGAACTTAATTACTTTTGGTAGTGCAACAATTGTGACCGTAATGTTTAATGAGCCCACTTGTTGCTGGCTGATAAACAGGGATTGGACAAAATATCAAATGTGTTGTAATGCTGTAGCACTGCAGTCAATACAAATTATGTGATGTGGCAGGAAAAACTGCATTTTCAAAGTGGTCACAACTTTTACCAACATTTAAAATGTCTCTTGAAAACATACAGACTTCACCAAATCAGTATTCACTGCTAGGCTACTGTGTTATAATTTGTTTTTATTACTCTGTCCACCCTCTGTCATATATATTATAGTATGTGAGAGAGGAACCATTCAATGATGGATAACATTATTAATCCCCTAGGTTAGTCACCCATACACCATAAAAAATAAACACAAGTGAGACAAAATATTTATCCTTTGATGTTCTAATGTGTAATTATTGGTTAATAAGACATTAGTGGTAGGTAATAATAGGTAGTATTGTGGGTGAGCGCTTGTTGAAATTCATATCATGGTGTAATACATTGCACTTATGTCTGTCTTAACATAGATGGTCTAATATGTGTCTTAATAAAATTATTATCTAGAGAACCCAAGCTTAAAGTAATTTGAATTAGTTTTAACACAACTGCGGAACATATACACTTACTTATGCAGAATCTGTTAATACATTAGTAATTAGTATTTTGAATTATGAATGTTGAGGATGTTTCTGTTCATGACTTTTTGTGCAGATTAACATTTGGCAGTCGGCAGTTTAGTATTCATTAATTGGATAGTTTTAATACTTCATTGTTTAGACTAACCAGTTACCAGATATGTCAGTGTGAAAGTATTTCCTGAGAAGGAAAAAAAACAAAGCAAAAACAAAACTAAGCACCTGCATGAACACACTGTTTGTAATGGGTCGATGACAATTTAGTATTTTAAGTGTTGAGAAATAGAGGGAATTTTATTGGTGGATGAATTGATCAAAGACTGCCTAATTTATGCCTTTAGGGTAATTTGTAAATTAAAGGCTTGCCAAGCATGCTATGTGTAATACAACCACACATCAATGAGTCACGCCCAAATGCTGAGCCGTTCAAAAGCTACATAGCATTCAGCTCATCTGCATGGAGACGTTGCAGAGTTAAGTTTGCAGTGGGAATGTTGCTGATCCTCTCCTTTCATTTTCTGTTAACAGGCTGTTATAAAACAGGGTGCCAGTGGAAGAGGAGAAGAGGACAAAAGTGCTCTAAAGTCTACAGGTGAGTGTGGAAAATACTTTTTTTTTAAAAAAAAAGTATTTAAGTCATGAGAAGAAAATCACAAAATTAAGGACTGTAAAAAAACACATTCATGCATTTCTTTATGTTCTCATAATGACTCTGATGTGAATTACTGATATATTTTACCCAACCAAACCTGGTTTACTCCATAAAAGGAATTATTATGGTGTGGATCTGTTTGTAGCTCTAAAATTGTGTAAACTATTACTTTCAGTATGCAAATGTTCACTTCTGTTATCAGTTAGAATTCCATCTACTCAAACATAAAAGTTAAACCTGTGTATTTGTTTTATCAGGTGCTGAATCTTCACAACTGGAGCACGCTGAAGACGTCAGTTCAGATCCCTGCCAATCTAGTGAGAGTTCAGACGCTACCCCGACGCTTGGAGACAAAGAGATGGAGGAAGAGAGAATAATGGAACAGGAGGGAGGTGAAGCTGAGCCAGAGCCAGATGAGGAGGGAAATCAACTCACAGGAGCCAAACAGCAAAACGCAACTGAAAACTCAGAAAGCCCAGACGCTAGTGAAAAGTCAGTTGGTAAAAATGGTGTGCCAGCTGAAAATAACACCCAGTCATTCAAATGCAATGCCTGCTTGGAAACTTTTCCCGGCAGAACTGCCTTGAAAGTTCATTACAACTCTGCATCCCACATTCAGAG